AGCTCTCACGAGGCCGGGCAGCTGACTCTAAGTACTAACAATCCCTCCCAAAGAGACATCTCCTACTGTGCCCCCAATTTCCCTCAAATAAGCCCTTTAGAGAAAGCCAGGAAAACTGGAAGTCACCCATCTGGAAAAAGACAGGACCAAAGAGATACTGTATCATTGTCTTCAAATTAAGCAGGAGGCCTCTTTGTCTGTAAAAGACACTAACCAGTTGGGGTCTAGTTGTATCCAGGCACCTGGATTCAAGCCCCACCTCTAACATTAATTTGCTGTGTAACCTTGACCAGGGCAGCTAGGTGGTCTAGTGGATAGAGCACTGGGCCTGGAGTCGACCCGAGTTCAAATCCGGAGTCAGACACTTACTAGCTGTGTGACCCTAGACAAGTCACTTAACCTTGTTTGCCTCAGTTTCCTCATCTGTAAAAGAGAAGGAAATGGTAAACCACTCTATTCTCTTTGCCAAGAAAACCCCAAATGGGGTCATGAGGAGTCGGACACAACTGAAATGAGTGAACAACAAAACTTGGCCACGTCATTTCCCCACTCAGGGCTTCACCCCAGCCTCAGTTTCCTCTTCTGGAAAAATGAAAGGCTTGGGTTGGGTGATCTCGAGGACCCCTTTCAGCTCTAGAACGGATGGTTTTACGTTCTTCTAAATCACTTCCCTTTTATGAGTCTTTGCTTTCTGCTCTAGAAAATGAACGGGCTGGACTAACTGGTCTCTAATAACAGCAGTAACTGCTCATATTTCTACAGCGGTTTACGTTCCTTATAACCACTCTGTAAAGGGGAGAGTACCGGGATTACTATCCCCATTTTACAGGAGGAAACCAAAACTCAGGGAGGCTGAGTGAGCTGCCCTTGATCACAGAGACGTGCCAGAGCTGGGATTCGAACCCTAATCTCCTAAACTCCACGTTCTTTCCTCTACACTGAGCTCCTTCTCATCCCACTAAGGCCCCAGCTCTGCCACATTACGACTCGAAACTTTGCCAGCCCTGAAACTCCGCTCTCCCTATCTCGAGATGCTGGGCCACGGGCCGAGGAGTTCACTGGAACACGCTAATGCAAACCACATTGTCCCCCTGTATGGCTCTGGTTTTTTTCCACCCACAACTCGAAGCCCTCAGAACCGGCAGCGGGAGTCTTTGCGAGAGCAAACAGATGTTTGCTGGTGGCTGCTGCTCTGGGCGCCTTGTGCAGATCATAAAAGAGGAGAAGAGGGATGATCCTTCTCATGTAAAACGCTCCCCCACGCGCCTCGCATCAAATGGCGCTGACGGCGAAACAAGCTGTGAAAAACCTGAAACACAAAAATACAACTCCCTCGGCCTGGCCAGGAAGAGGAGCCTGGGCAGAAGGAAAGGAAGCGCTGTGAAGGCATCTCGTCTAAGCCCCTCACTTGACAGGCAGGGAGAGTGAAGCCTGGCGAGAGCGGGCAAGGGGCTGACCCAAGGTCACCCAGCCAGCTGGAGGCTGAGCCAGGGTCAGAAGCCAGGTTTCCTGACTCGCCACCCAGGGCTGTTACCGCGAGCAGGATGAGCTCCTGTATCTGAACTGATGACGCCTGAGGAGAAGCAGGAGCATCAGATGTCCAGAGTGGCTGAAGGGGGCAGCTGAGGAGGAGGCTGGCATACTGCCTCTGGCCCGTAGAGGCTCCGGGCCCTGACACGTGAGTGAAGAAGGCTGGATCTCTCTGGTTCCTCATTTATAAAACAAGGGACTTGGAGCAAACGAGCTCTTAGGTCCCTTTTCAGCCCAAAATTCTATGGTCCTACGATTCTATGAACCCATGTAGGGGTTATCCCATGGGTCCAGTGACCTGGAAATCCAGAATGAAGCAAGATAAATGAGGTACAGCAAAAGCTCAGAAACCTTTGCTGCCTCTGACCGGTTGCTGAATTAACTGGCATTCAGTGCCCTCCACAGTATGGTGCCATCCTACCTCTCTAGGCTTATCTGAACCTACTCCCCACCAGAAGTCTGTGCTCTGGCTGGCCTGAATGTACTATCACCCACTACGAAAATATCACACATACACACACACACACACCCCATTCTTCACCTTTCAAATGCCTACCCACCCTTCCACATACAGTTAAAGTACAACCTCACCTACATATACAAAAATATTTATAGCAGCTCTTTTTGTGGTGGCAAAGAATTGGAAATTGAGAGGATGCATCGATTGGGGAAGGGCTGAGCAAGTTGTGGTATATGAATGTAATGGAATATTATTATGCTATAAGAAATGATGAGCAGGGGGCATCTAGGTGGCGCAGTGGATAGAGCACCAGCCCTGAAGTCAGGAGGACCTGAGTTCAAATCGGGCCTCAGACCAAACACTTGACACTTACTAGCTGTGTGACCCTGGGCAAGTCACTTAACCCCAGTTGCCTAAAAAAAAAAACCAAAAAAACAAACAAACAAAAAAAAAAGAAATGACGAGCAGGCAGACTTCAGAAAAACCTGGAAAGACTTGTATGATCTGATGCTGAGTGAAGTGAGCAGAACCAAGAGAACACTGTACACAATAATTGATAAACTTAACCCTTCCCAGCAATACAAGGATCTAAGACATCTCCAGAGGCCTTGTGATGGAATATACTATCCACATCCAAAGAAAGAACTATGGAAGTTGAATTGCCTTTTTTTTTCTCTTCTGTGGAGTTTTGTTTCCTCTTTCTGATGGTTCCTCCTATCGGTTTTAATTCTTACTTACAACATCACTAATGTGAAAACATGTTTAATAGGAATGTAAATGTATAGCCTATATCAGATTGTGCGCCTTCTTGGGGAGGGTGGTGGGGAGGAAGGGGGAGAAAAATTTTAAACTCAAAAGTATATGGAAGTGATTATTGATAAATCAAAATAAATTAATAAAAAAATAAAAACAAAAAAAAATAAAGTATAATTTCCTCCATGAAGACTTCTCTGACTAGAAGTGATCGATCCTTCCTCCATTTTCTCAGCCTATTCTGTACAGAACTTTCCCTCCACAATATACTTATTTGTATGCTCCTTCTATCCCCTCACCACTAACTACCATACCCTTCCCCTTCCCCCCCCCCAATACTGAAAGCTCATTGAGGGTAAGAACCATCTCATCTATCTCTAGCACCAATGGATATGTTATGAATTTGGGCACTGCTGCGAGGACTTTCCTAACTGGAGCTGTCCAACAATGGAAAAGGCTCCTTTGTGTAGGGTGGGGAAAGGGGGCAAACTCCCCATTACTGAAAATGTTCAGGGAAAGGTTGAATGGACCGCCTAGCTAGGTAGAGCAGCGGCTACATCGATGGATGGACCTAGAGTTAGGAAGATCTGAGTTCAAAATTAGCCTTAGACACTTACTCTGTCTGTCTCTGTTTCCCGATCTGTAAAGTGGGGATAATAACAGCACCTACCTCCCAGGGTTGTTGTGAGAATCAAATAAGATTAATGTATGTAAAGTACTACACAGACTGTATGGAGATACAAAAGATAGCTGTTATTAGCTATTATTATCCTTGCTCTGGAAGGAGGCTGCAATAGATAATCTCAGAGGTGTCTGTGAACCAAGCTCTTCCAACTCCAAAGAAAAGAACTCTACAGACTAAGAGGATATTAGCAGTGGAAGAGGCCATAGAGATCAGCACATCTAATTCCTTCATTGCAGAGATGAGGAAAAAGCCTGGGAGAGAAGTGACTTTCCCAGAGCCACACAGCTATCAAGTGCTGGAATCTCTTGATACTCTGATGCAGGATTCCAACGAGAGAGCCTGTGAGCCTCACTCCCCAACCAATAGTAACAGCTCCCTCAGCTAGAGCACCCCAATCTTTCCAAAGTGCTTCCCCCAACAACCTTGGGAGATAAGCAGTAAAATATTAATGTTCCCATTTTCCAGAAGAGGACACTGAGGCCAAGGAGAGGAAAAGTGATGTATTTAAGGTCACACAGTCATTGAGTATTCAAGATAGAACCCAAACCCAGGTTTCCTCATTCCCACTCCTGTGTTTAGGATTAGAAACACCGTATGTCAAGCCCTCCACAGGCACCTCACCTACAGCATCCCTAACAAGGGATATCATTCGGCTTCTGCTTGAAGACCTCCAGGCATGGGAGCTCACCACTTACTGAGGCAGCCCTTTCTGTGCTACCCCTCAGTTAGATCCTGCCCAAAGGACCCAGGCCAAAGGAGGATGTGACACCCAGCACCTAGGCTGAGCAACACAAAGGCTCTGAGGTCCTGCTCTTGTGTGGGATAAAAAGGTTTTAAAGAAACACAGAGGGGCTTCAGAATGACTTCAATCACATATTTTGCTTTCTATATTTTTGCCTCAGGTTCAAGGGAATCAAACACACCAAAATGCATATGCACAGGCACACGTAAGAAGCTTCCTAGGGCCCAGAAAGAAAAGACACCCAAATGCCCTTCCAGCCTAACCCCCTTTTCTTTCTTCAGATGTAGAAACTGAGGCAGAGAGAGGGCAAGGGACTTGCCCGAGGTCACGTACACACACACACACACACACACACACACACACACTAAATGGCAGAGTCAGCACTTGAACCCAACTCCGGGAACTCTAAACTCAATTCTATTTCCATCCTACTCCATAGTTTCTTAAATTGTTTGTCCTTGTCTTTCCTTTCTATTTTTCAGTGCTCTAGGCTACCCGAGACAGTCTCTGTATGGGGTCTGAGATATCCAGCACTGATCATCCCACCTTATGTCCAACATTGACCACATCCTTCCCTCTGGCCACATTCCCCACAGAAAAAATGCCTTCCATCCAGCCACATCCCTCCAGCCTGATGTTGGTGCTGAGCGCAGGCCTGAGAACACCCCCTCCCCTGCCGCCATGTTGTACGGGACTGGTCATCTCCAGTCCTTTCTCTCTGCTACCCTTCTACCCACCAAGCCCCCACACTCAGCTCAGGCCTGATGTCACCCTTTCTCCCTCTTATGTCCAGCACTGCCCACCCTTTCTCAGGACACAATCCCACTCACCCATCACAATAAGTGTGTAATTGACACTCAGGCTGCCGAAGCCATTGGTGGCCTTGCACACATAGGTACCAGCATCCCCTCGTTCCACTTCCTTGATCTTCAAGCCCTGGGGGAGGACCCGAAAACGGGCCCAGCCGCTATGGATGGTGCGTCCGTCCTTAGTCCACATGGTGAGGGGCGGTGGGTCCCCTTCCACAGGGCACAGGAGTTTGACGGTCCTCCCCAGCCTTGCCGACTGCCTGGGGGCCACACGGTCCGAGATCCTTGGAGGGCCTACGGGACAAGAGGGAAGAGAATTGAGTTGGGCTCTCCTCCAGCAGTCTGATGATTCACCCCTCTGCCCCTTACACCAGCACTGGCCTGGGAGCTGGAAGACCTCGAATGGATTCCCAGCGTTTGACACCTATTATTAGTACAACCACAGAGAGGCTGACACCTCCTGAGCCTCATAGAATCAAAGGACCCTAGAGATTATTTAAGCCAATCCCTTCATCTTATAGAGGAACTGAGGCCCAGAAAAAGGAAGTGATCAGCCCAAAGCCACACAGATAATAACTGTCAAAGCTAAGATTCAAACCCAGGTCTCCAGATTCTGGGACAGATACTTTCCCACCACATCACCCACCAAAGGCTCCTCAGCCTTTAATAAGAATTTACTTTGTGCCCGAAGAACAATATATACAATCACAACAGCATTGTCAAACAAACAAAAACAACAATAACTTTGCAAGATGGCTTTTAGCTATACAAAGACTAGCCATGATTCTGCTCCTGACAAAGAAGTAATGGACTCAAAGATATTTCCATTTTCAAACAAGACCAATGTGGGAATTTGTTTTGCTTCACTGTGCATATTAGTTGTAAGGAATTTTTAAATCCCTTTTTCCAATCAATAAATATTGTTTAAGAACCTACTATGTGTTAAGTGCTGGGAGGGGTGAGGAAGACAGAGCATAATCCAAAGAAAAGAAAGAAAAGAGGAAGAAAGATTTTTACAAATCAACAGAAAAGAGAGAAGGACAGAAGGAGATACAGACAAACAAGATAGCTTTGAAAGTTACACGTTGAAATTAGTATATAATTAAAAAGACTAGCAAAGGGTCCTAAGAGAGACTGGCAGTTTCCCATACAATCTACTTTCTTCTTCCTTCTACTTCACAAAGGGAAACGCTCACTTTAATTCAGAATAAAAATCTAAAAAGGAAAGGAAAAGAGTTTACTGTGTTCTGTCCAGCACTGCGGTTTCTCCTTCCCCTCTGACTGCATCCCCCACCCCCACACACACACTTACTCACTCACCCCCACCTCCAAACCCCGGGGAAAGCCTGTTCTTTCCCAACTCCTCCACGACTGCTCCTCAGATACCCTGAAGCCCAAATGAATAACAGGACAGGCCCTTAAAAACAAGAAGTCCTAATTCCTTCATGCATTTCTAGGTACAGCAATTCTAAAGGTCAGTCTGTGGTCGCCCCGGAGGTGGGAGAATGGCAGAGTGGATGCAGAGCAGTTGCTGGGGATGAAGAATTTGCAAGATAGCACATTTCTTTACCAAACAACCCAGGATCGTCCTTCTGTGTGCTGATTCCACTCCCTGGTGACCTAGCCTCCCTTCCCTTTCCCTGCCCCTCACCCCCACCCCAGGGACACACAGATAAATCTCAGGCCAAATCAACCTTGGATCCTGGACAGAAGGGTCTGGTGAGATAAGATTCCTCGCATGTCCCTCACCCCAGCTGGCTGGGGCTGGGGCTGGGGCTGGGGCTTACCAGGGTCCAGAGCTGGAAGAAGCCAGATTCTCCTCCTGTTTTAACCTCCCCTCTGGTTCTCCACAGAGCTGGATGTGGGACTCAAAAGGACCACAATGTTTTTAAAGGACAGGGTAGGTCCTGGCCTGTTTGGGGGAAGTTGCCCTAGACTAGGAGTCAGGACACCTGATATCTAGGTCCAGGCCTACCACTAATGGCTGCAGGACTTGCTTAAAGTCACTGCCTTTTTCTGGACCTCAGTTTTATATAGAGTTATACTATACATATACACACACAAACATACATATATATATATATATATATATATATACATATATATATATCTTAGACCTCAGTTTTATATATATATAATACAAATTTTATTTTATTAAATATTTTCCAATTACATTTTTAAAAAATTTTAACATTCATTTTTTAAAAATTTTGAGTTCCAAATTCTCTCCCTCCCCTACCCCTTGAGAAGGCGAGCAATATATTGAATATACATGTGAATAGACCTCAGTTTTCCATTCTGTCAAACGGAGCTAACCCCTCCCCTACTTTCCTTAAAGAGATGCTGTAAGGAAGCCATCAGTGATGAGAAAAATGTTTCAAAAGGATACCACCTCCTCCTCCCATTAGTTCTCATTCTTCTATGCATCATGACTAATGGGAAAATATGCTTAATATGAATGTATAAGTAGAGCCTATATCAGATTGCACGCTGTCTTGGGGAGGGGGGAGGAGAGGGAAGGGGAAAAAACTGAAAACTCAAAATCTGATGGAAGTGAATGTTCAAAACCAAAAATTAATTAATTAATTATTAGGGAAAAAAAAAAAAAAGAAAGGATGCCATCTCATCCTTCCTGTTTCTCACCTGCCATGGAGCTGATTATATAAGGCCTGGTCCAGCTGAAGCCCCAACTCTTAACATTCTACCCCCGGTCCACACTGATTCCTCCCCTTCTCTGAGTCCCCACTCCCCACTAATAACTTGATGGGGACAATGACAGAAGCAGCAACAACAATAACAAGGCTTTAAGCTCTATAAGGGCAGCAAGGTGGCACAGCGGATAGAGCACCACCTTGGAGTCGGGGGGACCTGAGTTCAAATCTAACCTCAGATGCTAGCTATGTGACCCCAGGCTAGTCACTTAACCCTGTTTGCCTCAGTTTCCTCCTCTGTAAAATGAGCTGGAGAAGGAAATCCAAACCACTGTAGTATCTTTGCCAAGAAAACCCCAAATGGGGTCACCAAGAGTTGGACACGAATGAACAACAACAAAAAGTTCTACAAAAGGCCTTCCTTATAAGAGATTTTATAAATGCCTTGTGAGCAAGCCCTGGGTGATTAGGTTGGGCAAGGATTATTATCATTGTACAGATGAGGAAACTAAGGCACAAGAGTTTAGTGATTTGCCCAAGGTCACACAGCTAATAGTTGTTAAAGCCAGGATTAGAACCCAGATCTCCCCTGATTAAAAAGTCCAGTGTTTTTTTTCACTACAGCATGCTATCTAATAATAATAATAGTTAACATTTATATACTGCCTACTATGTACCAGGAACTTTACAAATATCTCATTGATCCTCACAACAACCCTGGCAAGCAGGTGCTATTATTATCCCTATTTGACAGATGAGGAAACTGAAGCAAACAGGGTTAAGTGACTTGCCCAAAGTCACACAGTTAGTAAGTGTCTGAGGCCAGATTTGACCTCAGGTCTTTCTGACTCCAAGCCCAGTGGTCCATCCACTGTGCCATGGAGATGCCCATCTACTACCTGGGACCATTTTTATTTTGTTTTGTCTTGTTTTGTTTTAAATAATTTATTTTTAGTTTTCAACATTCGTTTCATAAGTTTGTGAGTTTTAAATTTCCTCCCCTATCCTCTCCTCCCCCCTCCCCAAGACAGCGTGCAATCTGATATAGGCTCTACTTATACATTCACATTAAGCATATTCTCACATTAGTCATGATGTAAAGAAGAATTAGAACTAATAGAAGGAAACACAAGAATGAAGCAATAAAATAAAACAACAAAAGAAAACAAGAGCAAGTAGTATGCTTCCATCTGTATTCAGACTCCATAGTTCTATCTCTGGATGTGGATAGCATTTTCTATCATGAGACCTTCAGAAATGTCTTAGATCCTCGTATGGCTGAGAAGAGCTAAGTCTATCAATGTTAGTCATCGCACAACATGGCTGTTACCGTGTACAACATTCTCCTGGTTCTGCTCACTTCACTCAGCATCAGTCCATACAAGTCTTTCCAGGTCTTTCTGAAGTCTGCCTGCTCATCATTTCTTACAGCACAATAGTATTCCATTACCTTCATATACCTCTGGGACCATTTTTAGCACCAAGAAAAAGGGCTTTGTATTCAGGAGGCACTCCATAAATGTTTACTGAATTTGTTGTTCAATTTTGAAATCCCTAAATCTTTGAAAGATAGTAAGTAATCTCTTTGCAATATCCAGATATTGGGATGAGGCAATGAGGCAAGTGATGTTATCTTTACTGGAATGTAAGCTCCCCGAGGCCGGGGCTCTCTTGCCTGTGTCTATTTGCAAGCCTAGCACTTGGCACAGTGCCTGTGTCATGGTAAGCACTTAATAAATGTTCTGTCTGTCCATCTATCTTTCAGAAGGACGAGGAACCAAAGCTCCTGTTACATAATCTCAGTGTTTAATATTGAATACTATTTTCTCAATAACTGTCATAATAAAACCTGAGCTGTGCGTCTTAGACTTTCCTTTGGGTCTTCCTTGTTCCTTGCCTCCTACAACCAATCATCAGGGTCTTGTCCCTTCCATGACTACACCTTGAAAACTAATTCCTTTCTCTCTTCCCTCCCCTGCCACACCACCTTTATCATCACCTGACTGGACAGTGGCTTCCTAACAGGTTTTTCTGCCTCCAATTTTGTCCTTCACCAGTCCTGTGAGAATAATCTTCCTCAGGCAAATTGTACATAATAGAAATCTGCAGTTTTGTGGACAATCCTCTTCTCTTTACTCTTTTTTTTTCTTTTTTGGCTAGGCAGTGGGGTTAAGTGACTTGCCCAGGGTCACACAGCTAGTAAGTGTCAAGTGTCTGAGCCTGGATTTGAATTCCAGTCCTCCTGACTCCAAGGCCAGAGCTCTATCCACTGCGCCACCTAGCTGCCCCAACAATCCTCTCCTGTCCTCCTACATATGTGAAAATTTCCATTTTGTTTGGTGTTTGTTGAGTTCAGAATAAAAATTTTAAACTTTTTTTTTAAAAAAGGAAGATTTTTCTTAAATCATAGATCAAATGGGGTTATTCCCCTCCTCAAGAATCTTCAATGATTCCCTATTAATTACCAAGAAAAGTTCAAACCCCTCTACTTGGCATTGAAGGCTGTCCACAACTCAGTAAATACACAGGGATACAAAAAGACACACACACAAATGCATACACGTTGTATCTCTGTGCACATTTGTGTCTGTGCATCTATCTCTGCATGGAGTTATTGCTGTATGGTATTACGTGTCTGAATGG